GAAACTACTGCTGCTGTACTCGTTCAGTTTTGATGGATTCCTTCCAGTGCCTCAGTTTTCCTTGTTTGTAGACTGCCAACAGTCTCGAGGGTCTAATAAACTTTGTGATGGTTTTCTGTCCAGGTAGCAAGTGATCTCACTTTTAATAAAGTCAAAAGTGATCAAGCTTTGTTTAATCCTTGCATTTTATGATTACCTCAGTGTACACCTCACAGCCCCATCCCCATGCAGCCCATGAAACGTATTACCAGGCTACAAAGGGTGGTGAGCCAATGAACCAGTGTCTCCTAGGGCATCTCTTTGCCAACATCTTGCTCCAAGTTAATAACCTCCGATTCCAAACTTACTGAAAGATTTTTATTAAAAAAAAAGAACCTCTCCTTTTTCTGCTTATGTCTCATTCTCTCTTACTCTCTCTCTCTTGACCTCTGACCTCTCACTTGGTCTCTGACTTTCTCTGTGTGTCTCTTGTCTTTCTGTGTCTCTGTCTCACTTCCCCTCCCTGTCCTCCATCTTATTTTATAGCCCCAGCTGACCTGGAACTTACTATGAAGCCCAGACTAGTCATAAACTTCTGATCATCTTATCTCCAGGCTCCCAAGTGCTGGAATTTACTGGAATGTGCTAACAAGGACAAAATTATAAGTCAGTAAGGGTTAGTTTAGCAAGAGGCTGAGTGACTTCTTTGCCTTCTTCTTAGACACAAAATCTTGATGGCAGGTAAAAGTCTAGTGGGGACAAAATCACAAGCACTATGAGATAGTGTGAAATATCAAGTCATTACAAACATAAAGGAAAAAAATGAAGCTGTGAAATTTAAGGTAGGAAAAAAATAAAGTCATCCTATTTTAAATTAACCCAGGGGAACTTTCTTCAGCCTATAGGACTTGAAAGTTATGGTGTCCAACGTGGCCTGGAGTTCTTTGCCTCCACAGAACACTTACAAGCCACCATAATTGTGCATCCATAGAAGACAAAAGCATGATTCAGAGGGGACTCTGAATTTTTGATGCATCTTTCATTTTCATAGACCACTTAATGGGGACGGAAGAAAGATGTCTATAAAAGTCAGCTAGAAACAAGCATTGTCCAGGAGTCCCTGGGAGCCCTGCTGGATCTCTGGCTGGCTAGACTCACTCATGTTCTCACAGGCTGCCTCTCTCCTTTATTGAGGCAATCTATGAATTTTGACCAATACCTTTCTTTTTGTGTGTGACCCAGTGAGTTAAATTAGAGTTGTTTGCACAGATAGGAGATTATTTATGGGAGCATGGGCAGAGTATGTGTGGCTTCACCCATGAAGAAAGTGATACTCAACCCATAATTCAGAACTTCCCATGGAGGGTTATGTTTACACGCATTTCCCCGCATGCCATTGAAAATGGTTTTTAAAAGTAAGGGAGTACAAACATTAAAATTTAAGTAAATATTTTATTTCTATGACTCAAAACAGCAACAGCTTTCTTATGCTCAGGGGGAAGCTCGATTATATACTAGAAAAGCTGACATCCTTGAGTGAACAGACTGAAGACAAACAGCCACCTAGTAAGAGACACTGAGACAGTACTGAGAGTCCACACGGTGACAGTATTTTGATGAACAGGGAGTCCCTTGAGTTACTGGGTCAGGAAGAGTCTCTCAGAAGAGGAGATATTTGAACCTCAAGAGCCACAAGATAAGAGGTCGGGAACTGAGGCGACAGCTTGGGGTTCTGGGAAGTGACACAGTGGCTGGCATTTCTGGAGTACAGTGAATGGGGTCAAAGTGCACAGGGAAGTTGAGACAGGTGGGCAGAGGGGATCCTGTGGGGTGCCAGGCACCATGGGCAGAAGGGTGAATCTTCTTCTGAGTTTAATAGGAAGCCACAGGAGGGCACCAAGATGACTTGACTAGATTTGAATTTTAACGTGATCATTCTGGCGTCTATGTGCATAAAATTATTAAGAGGCCCAAACTAAAAACAAAGAGATTAGCACTGGGGATGGAATGTACTGGAATAGTGTCCCTGTACTCAGGGACACACTGGTATAGGGTTGACTTGGGAGTCATAGATAATGAGAGATGGGCAGGCCCAGGACATGTCTTGCTGTTCAGTCAGCAAATCCTTGTCAGAAAGTGGATGACACTGGCGGACAGTACACACTAGACTGAACAGCACCTAGTGGGTCTCTTAATGATGTCACACAACCCATACTAACATCTCTTTTGGGGGATAGGATGCTGTCACTTGGAGTGTGGCTGGTTGCTGAGAAAAGGGCTGGAAGACTCTACATGCAGCAAAGCCTCTGCCCTCAGCTCACTGAATAAAAAAAATTCACTTGAAGAAGCCTAATATCAAGGGATGGATGCTCGCTGTTATTTTCTACAAAAAGTAGCAGGGTGTATCTGGTTAGAAGTGAACATGGTGTCTAACAGGCGGGTCCAACCTTTTGACTTTGTAATATGAACCTGTCATCTACAGAGTACATGCTGTAGAATGCAATTGAGTTATAAAAACAAACAAACAAAACAACAACAAAACACACACACACACACACAAACTACATTTGTCATTTTTGTGCTAGGCTGAAGTCTCGATTTTATGCCGCCAGGGGTCTTAGGTTAGACACAGCCAAGGATGTCAAAGGGAGGCTGAGCCGCAGCATGGATGGTGCTGCCACCCGTTGGCTGAGAGGGGAAGCCGAACTCTTGGATTCCTTCCTGTGAGGAGCATAAACCACATTGCTTCCCCTCGCCTCTGGCCAGGGCCCTCTGACTGGTATAGCACACGGTTGAGTGACTATAGGCTTAGACTCATGGACTAAAGAGTTAGGTGAAGTCATTAGATCATGTGACTGGCTTTCCTAGGATGAAGAGAATCACAGGATCTTCCTTCCTCTTCAGCCCATCAAGAAGCCACCTTTTTCCAGGCCCACAAGCCAGGCGCCAGGTTCACTGCTGCTTCATATGGGGTTTCTAGCAGCTGTGCTCATCCTGATCCACCAGCCAGCTCTCCCATGTGCTATAATCCATTTCCTGGTATCTGGAGTTTTGGCAATTGAGTCACACATTCCAGACCATCTCCATGGATGCCAGTTTAATCCTTAAGCCTCGTGTACACTTCTCACACTGGCTGAAGGATACTGTAGTGAGCTTGGTTTGCAAAGAATCAGGACTGAGAAGACTAGGTTTTGGGGTCACAGTTAAAGTAAGCCACCAAGGTTTGCAATTTCTGGCTAAAAAGCCAAACTCTGTACTTGTAAACACTCTCGTCAAACACAAAAGAATGTAGTAAATGTCACATGATCATCAATGAGTTTATTTTAAAATATTACTGTGGCTATGGAGAAGGCTCAGTTGGTAAAGTTTTTGTCTTGCAACAGGACCCAACATCCATGTAAGAAAGCTGGCTAGGGCAGATGAGACATGAGGATTCCTGGGCATTTCTTGTCAGTCACCCTCGCCTATGTGGCAACTTCCAGACCAGTAAGAGACCTAGTCCCCCAAACAAAACAAAGTACCCAAGGTTTATAACTCTTAGGGTTGTTCTCTGGCATCCACATGCAGAGACAAGGACATACCCGCATGCATACGTGTGAACTGACACACACACATTTGTGAAAGGAAACGAAACGTTTTCTCCGGCATTCCTACTTCTTGGGCCACCATGTGATGGTAACCTTAAACTAGCAGAAACCTGTCTAATGGAAACATTCCCTGGGTGCCATGCTCAATCCCTGAGGTTTGCGCTCAAACTCTTCTTCAGGCCTTTGATGTTGAATTAGGTACCTGCTCAAAAATGCACATTTAGTGCACAGGAGCACTCGGATCAACTCTGATTTCCAGTGAGGTGATAACATGGAGTTGTTGACTTGCAAGAGCAGAGTAAGGGTACAGCCAGGTCAGGGCTGGTGCGGGGCCCTGGGAGCAAAGGCATTGCAGGGCCACAGGTAAACAGCGTTGTGGCAGCTCTGTGCAGTTCCACTCCACCAGTCTCTCAGCTTTTCCTCCATCAACCCTACTGCTTTCTGCTAATTCCATGCCTTCTGAGGGGACCAGCTTCCTTTAAGCTCGAGCACTTGCTGCAGTCGGCAGCCAAGGGTTTTAAAGTCTCCGTCCCTTTTCCCTGCTCCCATTGGCTCTCAGAACAGCATTTTGCCTGTATACCTGTCATCCATGGGCTACAGCTGGGAGGAGGAATGACAGTATTCATCTAGTCCACAGAGCCCAGCTGTTGGCTGGACAGGAGCAGCTCTCCAGAAGAACCATGCTGACTCCTGGAGTAAAGACTGGCAGCCCTGGTTTTCTTATGGCCTCTTCCCCTTACACATACTTCCAAGAAGTCATGGCTGTCCCTGTTTATGTTGCTTTTTCTGCAGGAAATTTTAACTTTAACCTCAGCTCTGTGAATTGTGTGTGTGTGTGTGTGTGTGTGTGTGTGTGTGTGTGTGTTACTTGGCTAGGGTTGCCTTAACCCAATATAAACAGACAGTTGTGACTGGAGGCCTAAGAGCCAAGGTCCTCAAGATTGATCCTGACCTTTCTCTTATCTTCCTTGGTACTGGCAATGGTTGATGTCCCTTGCCCTGTAGAGGCATGGAGATGTCTTTGGCTTCGTGTTCACATGGGGTGTCTGTGTATGCTAATTTCTGAATCCAAACTGGCATGCTCATGAGTGATGGGGAATGTACTACTGTGTATGTTTATCTTATTGATTATTGAATAAAATACTGTTTGGCCAATGAGACAGCAAGTTAGACGGAACTAGGAGTCAAAGAGGATTCTGGGAAATGTAGTAGCGAAGTGCTGATCCAGGCAGGAAGTGACATAGAAAGGAGACTCATATTTAAGCGAAAGAGAAACGGGAAGGGCCCTCTTTTTTCCCCTCGGGCACGATGTGATCC